GAAGATGCACGCGGGGGACGACAACAGTGCCCTGGGTCTTGGCTGAAAAGGGTCCAGCGGTGTGGCCAGGACTCTGGGCCTTCGAGTGTGGCCCGGCCGGGCGATGCCACGGTACCAAAGGCAGCCTCTGGCGAGGCCGACGGGCTGCCCCGCGGCGCTGGCGTTTCCCACGTCGGCTCTGTTGGTGACCGGGACTCCGACGGCTGCACGTCGGCCCACTCGGGCTGGATCTTGGCTTACGGTTTAGACGTGGAGGGCGCTGGGGCAGAAGGAGGTCGGCGGGTGCAAGGCGCAAGCGGGCGGAGACGTCCTGGAACCATGCGCGGGCAGAGGCATGTCGGTTGCGGAGCCCTGGGGCCGACCTACCTAGGCTGCGGGCCGGGTCACTGGAGAGAACTGGCCGTGGCCCGCGGGCCATAACAACACGCTTCTCCTCGCTGCTTCGGCCCGTGCCGAAGTTTAGAGGTTTAGACAGGGTCGCTGTCCCGGGCTTTGTCCTAGCCACCGAGGTGGAGCGGCTCCGTGCAGAAGCCGCCTGCCCCACGGGCCCCCTTCGAATAATGTTTGCACGCAGTGCTCAGACACTGTTTCAGTGCTTTCTGATTAGCAGACCCATTGCTAAATAACTGAAAGTTCACCTCACCTCCACAAAGCTTAAATCCATGGATCAGAAATTGACAACGAGTGGACAGCGAAAACCATATAGTATTCACTGTGCCTAAACATTCCCTTGAGAAGTGAGTACCTGGGCGGACAGATGAGGCATGTGGCAAGAATCCATGGGCTTGACTGTATCTACATTTGTGCCTGCAAAACCTTGAAGCTGCCAAGATTCCCCAGAATTTAAAAGTAACTCCCTAGAAATCATGTCTGTCCTTTGGAAAGTTGGCCTGATTTAGCTTCAGGTGGGTGACTTGTACCCTGCTTAAATGCATCCTTCCATAGCTTACGATACCCTGCTTATGTTGGGGGGCTTTGTTATTGTTTTTATTAGTGATCCCCCGTTGAAAGAAAAAAAAGTATTTTTTTCATTGATCTGATCTACAATTTCTAGCACATAAATCTGCCTTGCAAATGCTCTGCACGGAGTTTAGTTCTGCACTCTACATTTTAAGTCAACATCAAAACTGGAATTAAACAGAGAAAACCAGCGTGGAGCGTAAACTGTGCTTAAAGGCTTTTAGATGAGAAAAACTTATGTAAGAAAATAAACATGGAAACCTAATGCTCAATCATTTCCCCAAGCAGCAAGAAAAACAGCCTTAAATCACCCATCCACGTGGGAAATGGGGCCTCTTTTTCTCTTTCAGTTCTTGGCCACAAAAAAATACAAGGCGATTAAGGGTTTCAATCTTGAGGTGACTTATAGAAAGGGTCTGTGGAGGTTTGTTTAATCATACTTGTCCTTCTAGCCCTTCTGGAGACCCCCTTTCCTGCACAGTTACTAATTTCAATTCTGTAATTATTTTTACTTTCCCAAGACATCTTGAGAATGAAACGGTAGTGTGATGTTACCAAGATTTTGAAGGGCTATATATTTGAAAACATGTCTGATCTTTTAGAAGGTTATCCTGTAGCCATTTCACCCCCAGCCAAAAACGGTATTATATATGAATAACAAATATATATTTCTTTTTAGTTGAATTTATCCATTGTGTACACAAATCAAGTCACATCATCTTTTTTTTGTCCTGCCTTTCTGCCTTTGATAACACCAAAGATACATTTCTATAGAGGCTCCAAATTTTCTTTTGCAAGGTTTTTTAGAATAGGATATGTTGCCAATTGGGAGATACACAGTTTTAATGATTTCACAGTAATCTTCTCTGAGTAGCTGTGTGTTTTTTTTTACACTGTGAAATCTCCAATCTAATGATTTATTCTCAATTATTCCAGGCATCCATAGCCTGTCCCTCTATATTCTCTCTCTCTCCCTCCCACTCTCCCTGCTCTCATCTTTTCCCTCCCTCAACAGCTCAATTTTATCTATTAAGACAAATAAAAGCTGAAGTTTGGATGGCATAGGGGATGTATTCTGCAATTGGAGAGGGATAACAATATTTGAGGATTTAAAACATTTTTCAAGTATAAGTATGGAAGGATTTTTGTTTGTGGGTTTAATCCTCTGTCATTACAGCGTATTTAGATGAAACGCATATGAGCAAAAACAATGGAGTCTTACAGTCATTGTTATGCCTATGACACCAGATTTATAATTATTTTAGATTATATACCTTGCAAAATCCAAGTTACATGTGATAGAGTGCTTACCCATTATGAAACAACTCCCCCATCCATAAAATAAAATTTTATTGAAGACCTACTATGTGCTAGGATGGTGTCGAGATATGTAAAAATGAACTGCATTGTCAAGCAAGTTGTTTTCATTTTTCATCACTAAAAAAAAAAACAAGATTATCCCCATATAAAGTGCTCAGTTTCCCTTACTGCCATGGACCCAACCTTGTCCATCTCTGGCTGTCAGTCAACAACTGAGCCCAAATTTGGCACCCTCTGCAGGTTGTGCCTGGTTCTTCCGCTTGTGATTATTTTACTCTTTTAAAACTGTTGGGGTTTTTTGTTTGTTGAGCTTGTTGTTTAATATTTTTAAAGGCTATGATTGGGTTTTGAATTTTTGAAACTAGTCTACACTCAAAATGAAAGCTTCATCCCTAGCACCAGCTGTTCGGGTGACCCTGTCTAACTCACCGTGTGGAGGCTTCGGGGTGAGTTATGAGCTCAACAGTAGCTACAGAAATAAATGATGTGCCCAGAGTTCACACATCGCCCATCCCCTCCTCCCCATAAACTCACACTCACCCGCAGGAGGGAGAGGAGGGAGGAGGAGCCCGGGGCCCAGGGCTCGGGAGGAAGGTGAGGGGCCTGCAGAGAGCCCAGTGGCCCTTAAGGTAGCCAAGGGGGACGAGCCTGGCCACCACCTGGACTCCAGCGGCAAGCCCTCTCCCGCGCTCCCTTTCAAAATAACAAGTTGGCTAAAACAGTTTACTTTTCCTCCTTTGTACTTATCATGAGATTTATAATTTGTGGAGTTAGCACTTAAATAAGAAAGCTTGCTCTCTTAAAAACCAAACACTAGGCGACAGAAACCAGTCCCTTGCCCTCCAGGGCGCACCTGCCCAGGGTCTGCGCGACACAGTGGAGCGCCCCGGCCTAGCAACGCCCGGGGCGCCCGGGTCCCTCTCGGTGCCCACCCCGGGGGACGCAGACCTGCTATTCTGTTCCTCCCGCGATGACTCGCAGCCCCACAAGCAGCACCATATGCTTCTTCTGATCAGACAGCCAGCGACATTGGCACCGATAATTGACGAGCCCCGCTAGAAATCACGCAGAAAGGGAGCCCGCTGAGACCGCAGGGGCTGACAAATCACTGCTAATCATCCTGTTAGAACAGCGCGACCGGCGGAGTTCGCAGTAGCTTTATTTTTATAAAGTAGGCGCTGACAGTATCAAAGACGGCGAGATCTCTTTTTTAAACATCAGGCGGTGCAGCATCACAGTCATTTCCCCACCAGCAATCCTCCGCAGAGTCTGAATGGGAAATGTGGTTTTTCATATGTCTCCCTCCTTTTTTTTTCTTTCTGTTTCTTTTTCTTTACTTTTCAGGGACTTTAGGTTTTGACTCCTTTCCTCCTGTGATTTCCAGGGTCAGATGAGACTATTCAAGAAACTGCTTTAAGACAAAATAACTGTAACACTACTTACAGTGTGAGGGTAAAATTAAACTATACCTTGAAATTTTTCCTTTAGTGCCCCTGACCAATTTGGGGCATGTTTTGCAAGAGTTTGATCCAGATCATAACTTTTTAGTCAAGATCAAGCTAATTGAAACGCTAAGCCAAATGATGACTATTTCCTTCCCCATACTTTCTTAAAAGAAAACAAACCCCAAACTCAAAACCTCTCTGGGTCAAAGAAGTCGTTCTGGTTTGTAAACAAACAGGGGTTCTTTCTCTTGGATTTTTTGTTTATTTGGCATTCTCTCCTTTACATTTCCAAATCCCCTCACTCAGAAAAGATGTATCCAAAATGTATAGACTTTAAATCTGTTCATGTTATTTGAATGTGGGTAAAGAAAAAAATGGGGAGTTAGAAAAGAGAAGTGACCTTTTCCCAGTGAGTGTAAGTGGTTTATACAGGAGCATGTTTTGTGAAGCCTGCTCTGTTCTCATACAGCGAATCTTTATAATCTAAGTACACATTTTAAATCATGTCAACAGCTCAGCTCAGCTATTCTAGCTTCTAGGCCTTTTAAGACAATTTTCCCAGGATCCATTTGCCAACCTACCACCCAGAAGATTTGCTAAGTGGGCTAGCCATCTTAATTCAATCTTATGTATTTGGGGACTAGTCTGTTATCTCAGAGATAATATCCAGCCCAGAGTTGCAAATCACATGCTCCAGAGTTAGTTTCAGGATCTGTGACTATCTCAGAAACTCAAACTAAATTTGCTATCAGCAGTCAAGAGCTGGGTAAATTCAGAAATTGTTCTTCATGAATACGCTTGCTCTTCAATTGCAAAGTTATCAACATATAGGGAAATGATTATCTACTTTAGCTGGCTTCATGTACATGGGTCTATTTATATGTAGCAAAAATTCAAGAATTTGGCATCGTTCCTGCTTTCTCCCAGATACAATTCTAACGAGAGCAATGAAGAAAAAAAAAAAAAGTCATGTTTGGATTAGTAGTACTTTCAATTGAGCCCAGTATCTGAAGTGTTGACAAAAGCAGTGTTGGGCTGCTTCCCAACCAAACATATCTGATAGACTGAAGAGAAAGTATTAATGGGGACGTAGAAAGAGCCACGAAAAGGCAACAGGATTTCTAAGTTCAGAGAGGTCCTTAGTCAAGCAGCCACGCTCCACTTCCCTTTGCAGGGCGTGTGTGAAAGAAAGTATGAATGTGCTTCCCTGCCCAGTGGCTGGCAAATCCTCTACCCCTTCTGTCTTTGAAATTCCATCTGGGCAAAGTCACTTACCTTCTGGGAACACTACTCTCATTTTGAGATAGCTGGTTGTGAGTCTGATTATGGATGCTTTGTCCAGCTGCGAGGTGATAGCCGAGGGCAAAGGCAGTAATTTCGCCAGTTCGTAAAATTCACTGTTTTCTTTCTCCCTCCTAGTCCGGGCAGCATTTTTGGACTTCTCTTTCATTGTGTCTCCTTACCCCTTTCTTCTTACAACATAAGCTCCACAGATTCATCCAAAACCAAAGTAAACTTTCAATGAGAGATCATATTTGGCAAAAACATAAAGCATGCATTGAAGGAGAGGCCTGAAGTCTTTGCTTCAGTGTATTGGTGGTGGTAAAAGACCAAGGCAGCGAACAGAAAATATTTTCTTTGAAAATACGGGATGCAAATATAGGAAAGTTGCTGGTCGGGGCAATCTGAGCAATCCTGGGAGTCTCTGCATATCAAATGCCGGCAGGACTCCCGAGGCGCCAGCCCTTTCTTCCGTTCCTCGCTTCGAACCCGGGTCCTTGGAAAATCGACATAATAATCCCCGACGTTAGTTCTTCAGTCCCGCGGAATTTGAGGCGGCTCCGAGCCCCTTTGGGGAGAACAGGAAAGCCGGGCGACTCTTTCAGGCCACTGTGAAGACAACGGCATCATAGCGTAAGAGATCTGCGGCCCCACACTCACTCCCGCCCCGGGGACTCCGGGCAGGGCCTCCGCGCGCCTCGGCTGGCCTCGGGGTTTTTGTTTGTTTTTTTTAAAACATGGAGAAATCAACAGAGAGGCTGAGACCCTTGCAAATAATGTTCGCTCGCATTCCCTCACCCCTGCCCGCCACATTCTCCAGCCCCCTGGGAAGTTGCCCAAACAAACAAACAACAAACAAAACCCGCCTATTTTGAAGAGCCCTGGGAGACCCGCGCCCGCGCCGCGTCCAGCGCGCGTCCTGGGAAAGCAGGCTTCCGAAAATCCGAATTCCTCCGCAGTCGCCCCGCTTTGGCGGACCTGGAGCCTGGCTAGCTCTCTAACTTGGATCTTAAGTCTCAGGGATTCCTCAAAAAGTGGCACTTACACATCAAGTCCCTCGGGACGCCCGAGGGGCCCGGCGCTCTGCCTGCCCAGCAGGGGCGGCCACACGCGGGGCCCGGCTGCGCCAGGTTAACAGGTGGCACCTTCACTGCAGCCCCTCGCGGGCACCGGGGTGGGAGGCGGCGCGGCCTCC